AGCGTTGGTCCAAGTCGCCATAAAAGCCGATAAAGGGATAGCGATTCGTGCTGTAGATTTGAGCGATTGCACCCCAAGATAAAGCACGATCGCCTTGGTATCGAGTGCGACTTTGGCTGGATCAGAGGGAAGCTTTGAGCCAAAGAACTGGGTGAGGATAACGTTTGAGATTTGCGGTCGGATACTGTGCACTTTCTCCAACGCTTCGACTGTTTCTTGCAGCGGCACAGCGTCTGGAATCAGCGCATGCAAATCTAGATGCGAGATAAGAATCTGCAGCACAGAGACCATCCATGTTGGGGACAAATGTCGCATATAGCCGTCAAGCTCAATTACGTGGTTATGCACCAACCCTGCCTCCAGCTCTGCCGGGCTGGCTTGGACAATACTTTTCAGCTGTTTGAGGGTGTATTTTCGTACTGGGCGAGAGTTGGGGGCTGATCGAGGTGTTTCTTCTTCTTCTCCTTCGTATTGGGATGCTTTAAGAAGGCCGAGAAGACGATCTAGACGGGGGACTACCGGTGTGAGTTCCAGCGTGTCGGTGACGTTGCTGCGCAAATACAGAGCGGGCTTGCTAGGTCCTGCATCGGCAGAAGAGGAGAAAGAGGGTGGGGTAGGATCAATGCTGCATAGCAGCAGAGAGTTGGACTGGGACACGGCTCGAAGCGCTAGTGTCTGAGTGTCGGTAGTGAGGACTGCTTGGTCATCGTATCGACCTTTGATGGTGAGTCGGGATGGTTCGGTTTTGCGTTTCTTCGACGCAGGTTCGGCGTCTTTGGGCTTGGCGGAGGGGTCAAAGAGGTGAAGAAGCTCGTTCGGGATTTCGAGCAGGCGATATTGTGTGAGAGGCAGTGCGACTGAGCATAGCTCTATTGATGAAGACGTTGCAGTCATCGTTGCAGTCATCGTTGCCAGTGTCCGGATAGTGGTCGAAGAAGGAGAGCGACAAGGTGAAAGAGCGAGAACAACACTTTTCTACAGTGCAGGAGCGCGCTTCTCACGCGTCGCGTACAGAAGCATTAAATTTAACACAGCGCCTGCAAAGGCAAATTCTCCCACATTTCTTGTGGAGGTTGAGCGAGTTCGGAATTCGGAGTTGTCCTCCGCATCAACTTCGCAACTTTTCTTCCTGTCCTTCCACCTCCTCACTCACAGAGCACCTCGACCATTCATCAGCAACGTTATCACAATGGAGAGCAGCACAGACCCAGCTGATCCGAACACGCCATTGGTAAGCAGCTCAAAACATGCCGGTCCCTCAATAGAAGTACCACCGGGCATATCCAAGAACGCAGCCAAGAAGCTCGCTCGTAAACAAAAGCTCGAAGCAACCAAACACGAACGTCGGGCTGCTGAGCGGCTCAAGAAGAAGGAAAACAAACGAGCTCGGTTCCTTGCTGCCCAAACCATCCCTTCCGATCCAAGCACTAATTCCAATGGTGCTGCAAAGCGAAGAATCTCCGTAGCGAGCAGCACATCCAATGCAGAGGGTGGAGAAGGGGAAGGAAGGAATGGGAATAAGAAGCGAAAAGCTGCAGAAGGGGAGAAAGAATGCTTCGACGCTCGCCTAGTGATCGATTGTGGATTTGACGAGCTGATGGTGGAGAAGGAGAGCTCGAGTATGACGCAGCAGTTGATGTATTTGTATTCTGCGAATCGGAATGCGAAGGTTCCATTTGGGGAGGTTATTTTGACTGGGCAAGATAGACGAGGGAACTGTTTGAAGGATGTTCATCCTGAGCAGCTTTCCCTCGTCCCGAAGGAATCTTGTTCCAGTACCGCGGAGGGGCAGGAGAAGGGAGAAGGAAGCAGCAGCAACACGGCAAGCATCGAGAATATTCGCATTGGTCAAGCCATGGACGGCAAACTACGTGGCGTATGGAGGCGGTGGAAGCGGGTCACCATCTATCGTCACGGTGGGCTCGAGTCTCTTCTTGATCCTGCATCATCAAGCACGGCTGCTGCGGAACATGCGGCGGAAACCACCGTAACAAGCCGTCACTTTCCACCAGAAGAAACCCGTCAAGCACTCCACCGAATCCCCATCTCCGACGCTATCTACCTCACCGCTGACACAGATGACACTCTCGAAGCTCTGGAACTGGGTAAAACCTACATCATTGGTGGAATAGTAGATAAGAACCGGTACAAAGGTTTGTGTCGAGCCAAAGCGGATCGATTGGGGATTAGGGCGGCCAAACTTCCACTTTCGCAGGAGATGATGCAGGCTGTTGAGCGGAATGTTCGGGCACAGGGGGAGTCGATTCGGGAAGAGGATGCTGGTGATGATGGAGAGAAGGGTTTTGTGGGAAGAAAAGTGTTGACGGTGAATCAGGTGGTGGAAATTCTAACGGCTTGGACGGAGACGAGGGACTGGGTAAAGGCGTTGGAAAAGGCGCTGCCAAGGAGGAAGTTGAAGCAGCGTGGACCTGTTGCTAAGCCAGTCGGTGAGAAAAAGGATCAGAAAGACAGTAGCGCCGGAGAAAACGGTGCGAAAGGATTGGAAGAAGATGAAGATGCGCTCAAGAACGAGTCATGATAGATCAGCGACTGCAAAGCCTTATCACACCATATCTCCACACGGCGAAGGAGGGAAGAGGAATGTGATTCAATTGATACCAGATCCAGTCGGTCATAAAATGAGTGACATAAGTGCAAGCACTGACAGAGAGAACCGAATGTAAGAAAGAACAGAAAACGAACGTGCCTATAACGAGCGAATAGGCGGAGAAGCTGATACCGAATGTCCGAGGATGCGACTGGTTGTTATGGTGTGTGTGTGTGTGTGTGTGTAAAAGTGGTCGCCGCCAGCATGTTCAACCATTTAGAATGTCTTTGCGTTGATGTTCAGGGCTGGAAAGCAAGTACACCAGCAAATAGCACACTCGCTGTTGCTAACAGCACTGGCAAGCTTTTAGCCTTCTTTGCAGCACCTGAAGTCGAGTTCATTCTCGAATTAGACTCTGGAGAACTGCTAGCAACATCGCCTGCACCTGCGATTACACCGCTCTGATATCCCGTCCCTTGATCCACTGCTGCTGGTGCTGCCGTCTCTGCCACTGCTTCAGCTGCTGCCGTCGGTGTGACTTGACTGCTAACAGCACTGCTAGTACTATGAGCCTTCGCCTTGACCACATGCTTATGATACGCGGTAGCGAAAGGTCGAGCTTGTTTGAACGTCGAAGTGAAAGTATGACTGTGCTTCGGCTGACGGTTGACACAGGTAGCAGGAGCATTGATGTGGTCGAAATGACATTCGATCTGAGCGTCCGAGTTGTCGATTGCGGAGAAATAGTTGTGAGACTCGAGGAACTTTTGATCTTGAACGATGGTGGTGGTGTGACCGTTGATCGAGGCGTATTCGTGCGCGCGTACGTTCCAGACGGTTGCTGCTGCGCCATCGGGTGCGGTGGTGGTGGCGAGTGGGGTAGGGGAGAATCTGATCGAGACATCGCCGTCAAGGGATGTCATTGCTTTCTCGATGCCTCGGATCATTTGGTCGACTCCGGGAGCGAAGAGGGAGACAGTCGCGGTGGAGACTGTTGCTGTAGAGAACGATGCCGTCGAGGCGAGGGAGACTGTCGTGTTCGAGTTCGACATTGTCGCAACGGAGTCGGTGTGAGGGGAACGGGGTGAGAAAGGTGGGAAAAGGGAACGTGGGAGGATGGTGGAGAGGAGAGATGCTAAGTGGTGGTGGTGATGGTGGTGGTAGTAGTGGTGATGGTGAAGACGAGGCTGGAGCCAGATGGAGAAGGCAAGGGACACGAAAGGCAGGAACAGGGTCGGAGTTCCACATCCTGCTGCTTTGCCGCCTAGAACGCCAACCTTGCCTTGCACTCACTGCTCACAATCACTCCTCTCACCCTCGCATTGATGACTGTCTAACTTTCCATAGCAGCGGGATTTGCTATTTGCTTTGTTGGTCTCCAGGCACACCGTCATTGAAGCAAAGGGGGGAAGATTGAGAGCGAGATGTTCGCTTATGCTGGACGACGATCAGAAAGATTTGCGACCTGCAAGAGTGGCCTCGCGTTGCCAAGTGTTGCACATATTCTTCCCTTAGGCGCTTGCATCGATCACAGAGGATCCACACTGGGATGGGAGAGTGAGAGGAAGCCGACGCGATGGATTCTGCACCGAGTATGCGGTCGTAACGCGCATCAGCGAAGATCGTGAGGGGCGGCAAAAGGAGGACAGGCAGAAGAGAAAAGTTGTTGGTCTCGGCGACTTGGGGACGCGATTCTTTTGTCTCGCCGCACGCGCTCGGCTCTGTGTCGTGATCAGGGAGGAATGGGAGAAGGGAGGGGCTGCTGTCGGGACTGAAGGCAGCAAAGAGACGGGCAGGGGGAACAGGAGAGCGGCATACCGAGGGGATGGGAAGTCATGCATATTTCGCCGAGGCTTGCCGTCGTCGCGCTGTCGAATCCATCCCCTCTTTCTTACCTTCAATCAAGTAGTTTATGAATGTTAGACCAGGGATCGACGTTGGTGTAGTGCGGTGTGTTGTGCAGCCACCAACATGGATATGGTAATAAAGGTTCTTCAAGAGGCTCAACAACAGTAAGAAGCAATGCCAGAAGGGTCGCTTACGATAGTGTTTATGCGGCCAAGAGTTGGTTGGCACTTCTTGGCACTTTCGAAGAGGAAAACTTCGGCTGGTGTGCCTGCATTATTCATTTTGCATCTCCCGATCGATGCAAGGAAAGGTGTACCCGATACGTTGCTTTTCCGAGCCTGAATTAGCTCATTCATTTCGATGCATCCTCTCAACAGTACTTGCTGACCTCTCGGCATCGAACTCTCATAGCAGTGAGGTTTGAACATCCATACCACGTTCCTGTGCGAGTGTCAGACAGAAGACCATCAAGAAAAAGACAGGGATGGGTGCGCCCAGTTGAGAGGAAACTCGAGAAGCACGATGCCAGGCGAGTGGAAAGTGTGAGAGCGGTAATTAAGCCAGGTTAATATCTATGCTACATAAATTAAAGCCGACAATAACAGGTTGTATGGAGTAGTGGTCAACTTAGGAGATTTTGACATGAAGTCCATAGCGGGATCCACTGTTCGAATTTTCTCTTGCCCTGGGTTCGAATCCCAGTACGACCTGCTTTTTGGCACCTTTTTTTATTTTTATTTTTTATTTTTTATTTTTTATTTTTTATTTTTTATTTTTTATTTTTTATTTTTTTGCTATTTTTTTGGCCACCACGAAGGTGGAATGCTGAGGTGATCGCCCTCACCAAATTTCGAACAAGATCGTTCAAGAAATGGACGAGTAATGGTGATTTCAATTTTCTAGGATGATGGTTTCTGACACTTGTGAGGAACTGCCATCTAAAACTCGTTCCTGCTATGTAGTTCCGCGCTCACCAATGTTGTCGTCGTTGTGCCTTTATATATCTCATGATCAGTGTGTTGTTTGCTGCATTCGGTTTCTCAGAATAAGCCAAGTTCGAAGCAACCTGCCAACGAAGGGGAGGCTCCTCGCCCATCAAGAGCTGCTTCTGTAAGATGCTTGGAATCTACAATCAGGACTTTGCTCAGCTGTCGAGTTGCATACCAGGTAGCCGGCGAGCGGTCAAGCAACGTGCTTCTTGTTCGTTCAGACTGAGCTTCATTTGTATGTGATCAGAACCCGAGGTCGAGAATACAGCACGGGGAGAAAGAGCACACCAGGCATGTCTTGCATTGCCTCCACTCATGCGTGTTTGCTGCGTGCGCGGGGAAGTCCGAACTTGAAGTCGCCAGCCTCGAACGAGACATCAAAGTGGGATCCACAACGCAGCTTGGATTGCGTCGATCTTAGCTACACCTTTTCCCTATTCTCGATGAGTTGCGCCACTACTGTGAAAGACGTGTTGAGTGCCAAGCGACACTCTTTCGACCGCGGTTGACGTGTTTCGACGCTAATCTGTCCATTACGCCAAAGGGATCTCTCGCTTAGCGGCTATCTGTAGCTGGAGTTCTAGGAAAGAGAAGGACCGGAATTTTCCGGAGTGTCAACCCAAACGAGGCCGTCGCGTCAAATGTGGGGAAATCTTTTTCGGCTGGACGAAGAGGAGCGGCAAATTGCGGGATTGAACAGAGCATTTCCACACACAGCTTGTCTTGTTCTGATGCTCCACGGACCGTCAATGTGCCAACGTGATTGGCAGCTGTACGACGATAGCCAGGGACGAAGCGGGGTAAACCTGCTCACAAAGTTGGATGGCAAGGATGGTCGGACCGGTGTCTTTTGAAAGCCACACCGGGGTAAGGCAAGGTAGCAGCAGCAGCAGCAGCAGCAGCAGCATCAGCGACGAGGGAAAGAACAATGCGGGGAGGAGACAGCATCGTCTCTGGCGCGGTCTCGTAGTCTCACTTGAGGTTTCACGCAGGATAACAAAATGGCGAGGAGCATTGCTCGGGTTGTTACAGTGCGTGTCACCTCACCCCTGTGCATCCCATTTGGCAGACGCCTGGTTTAGATGTGGGAACCTTTTGGATAGATGCTGGATAAGATGCGCTTGAACGAGCGACATTCACAGAGGTCGATAAGGGGGTTGGCTTTGGACGCTGCTGAAAGCCGCTGTTTGGCTGTGGCGCGCGGACCTTGCCGGCTCACGGAATTGCAATATCCGCTGCTGCTGCTGCTGTCAACGCCGTGATAACGCTGGGTCGATACAGGCTAGACAAGGTTCTATTATTCACAACAGCCAAAGTCGCGACGCAGCACGGAAACTGAAATGAATGGTCGACATGCAAGCACGGATTGAAAAAGACGAGGATGCGGGGACGATGGATGTTTCCATCGAGGCGAGTACGGAGAGCTGGCAATCCCAGATCGGCAAGTGGGATAGCCCCCCCACGTCGGCGTATATGAAAGTGTACGACAACATGGGGATCAGGATGCAATACACCGGCCAGGCTGTCTGTCTTATCGGTCGATAAAGTTCTGACCCGAATTGTTGGACAATCAAAGAAAAGCAAGGAAGAGATTGCCGTTCATGGCAACGTGGTAGCTCTGCCTGCGAGCGAGAGGGAGGCGAGGGATAAGCAAGCTGGTCAGCTATGATAAAGGCTAGACCCGATCTCGCTCGGTTCATCGGGGACCGATGCAAATTACTCGAGCTCAGGCGGCATTTGCTGAGCATTTTGGCTGGGCTAAAGGGCTGTTTGCAAGTTGTTGCTTCTGCTGAGAATGAAGGCGGGCTTGAGCAATCAGGCGACATCGAAGGAGAGCAAAATGGGAAAAAAAAAGAAAAAGAAAAAGAAAAAAAAAATGAAATCCAGAAAAAGGCTACGAAGATTGTCCGATGTCAAGCACAGAACAGGGGAAACGTCCGCCATCTGCCCGCGGGGATTCTAGACGATCATTTCCAAGAAGCTTGGTTGGAGATGGAGATATGGAGCAGCTTCGGTCAAAAAAAATCAAAAAAATCAAAAAATCAGAGGAATTTTTTTTTTCGAATTTGCCCAGCTGACGCGTCGTGGTCAGAAGTCGACGCACAGAGAGGTGTTAGCCTGACGCCTGAATTGAGCGAAAAATCTCTGTTGAAGCTGAGAGAAAAGAAGAGAAGAAGTGGCGGAAGGGCTTGGATATATGCTCAGGCAAGCCACTTTTGCACATCGCAGCATATTGTCTGAAAAGAAGGGGTCACGCTGCCTCCTTCTTTTCTCCGGGAGATCCCGCGCTTTGATTGATCGAGAAGAGAAGAAGAACACTTCGAAAATTCGAAGAGGGCTATGCGATCCTCTCAAAGATACACGGCCTTTCGAAGCGCGCGAGCGAGGGCGCTTGCGACAATCCGTATCGAAGCTCGAAGAGGGTTCTTTCGATAACCCAAGCGAGAAAGGGTGGGAGGGTCACTTGACTTGTGCTCAGCGGCAGTGCAAGGTATCGCGACCCCTGGCAAGCTTGAGCTTCTGTACTGTAAGGTCACAAGGCAGGACTTACCCGGCCTGGGAGGGGGAAGATATATCATTTGCAGAGGTAGCCAAGCTCTGTAATGCGAGTTCGACGTTGACCTTCTTGACCTTCTGGCCGACGCTGACTACAGGCTCGACTGCGACTAGACCTTTCGCGACAGAGAGCAATGCGATCTTGACAGGATAATGCCGCCAAACGGAAACGCATAATGCAATGGAAGCGAGGCCAATCTGACAGCCATACCCGCGCAGACGACACATGAGGCTTTTTCTGCAAGCACGTCTTCGCTGCGTTGACACATTCGGACAAGATTTCCGAAAGAGAAAGCGTCGCTGTGCTGATACCTTTTTTTTTTCTTCTCTTTTTTTCCTTCTTTTTCTTTTTTTCATCCCACTTCGGTTGGTAGGAACAGGAGCTCGGCAACGGTAGAAAAGCTTGATGAAACGAAAAATTCTTGCTCGGCAATCACACCGACGGTCATCACCCCAACATCGGCAACAAGCACTCCAAACATCATCATGAGCTCGCTTGTCTTGGAGTCACAAGATCAATCTTGATCAAAAGGTCGGAGCTGTCGATATGGCCGCAGTCGAGAGTCGGAGAATTTCATCGACCTTTGAATAAAATGTACAAGGGAGAGTACAGCCCCCGGATCTGAATGAAGAGGCAATTCAAATCATGACCTCGAACGTGAAAACGGCGGACTCGCCGAAGTTGGACAGAAGATGGGTTAGATTGGCTAAAGCTGGAGAGTTGCTCCGCAGACTGTATTGCCATGTCACGCATGACGAGATCAGGGGGGAGATAGAGAGAAGAGTCGAAGATTTGACCGAGCTCGGCGTATAGGGCACACAAAGTTCAACCGACGATGAAAAGCATGACAGGATGCCAGATTGACGAAACAATGAGCAGGACAAAAGAAAAAATAAAAAAGAAAGAAAAAAAGAAAAAGGAAAAGGAAAAGGAAAAGGAAAAGGAAAAGGAAAAACCCTCCGAGAAGACAGGCATGAGGATCTGATTGGCAAACTGCGGTTTCCAGTGTGCCGCGGGTCGACCATATATTGATTCAAGCCAAGAGCCGTCTCATGCCGTTCTTGCACAGCAGCAAGCAAAGGCCTCAAGTGACTGATGCGAGCAAGAGTTTCGGTCAGGTCTAACTTCGGTGAGAGAGACAAACAAGGGTTTCTTGCTGCAAGATCGCTCGCTCGCTGCAGTGCTTTGCATTCCGTCAGCATCGTTGGCTCAAGGCAGAGTGTGACGACGATGACAACAAGAACACGACTTGAGACGAGATGAGCGAATCTTTGGTCACCCGACCTCACGCCGAGACTTTGTTGATGATGTATCCTCCAATGGCAATTCCGCTTCCAGCAAAGAGTCTTGTTCGAGCCAGTCAACCTTGATCTGGACAGGATGGAATCATGTCGCCTGTTCGGCTTACCGTTCATCCTAACAACAAGCAACTCGGGGGAACACTACCTCCATCTCGTAACGCGTGCTTAGTGATAATACTAAAGTTTTTGCGTAAGCGTTTGTTCTACCGTCATTGGCTGATCATTGTTCACCCAAAGTTTGGGAGGTGGTCTGAATTTTCCCTTGCGAGACTCGAAAATGGAAATTGGAGAGATATGGAAAGTTTTACACTCTTCGGCATTGTCGCCATTACCCCCCACTCTCTCTCTTTTGCCCAGCTCTACTTCGGTGGTCCATGCCAGTCGACGTTGCGTCCCACTCTTCGCCCCTTCTCCCACTTGTGTGCAGTGTAAAGAGAAGAGCGTGAAGCGTGGCAGGTGATCTTTTCCCTTTATCCTTCTTGTCAAAACCCGAACAATCCAAAGAGCCAGAGCCAAAAACTTGCCGCCGCTCTACTACCCCGCAGTTGGTCCGTTTTGCTCGCCTCCTCCTCATTCCGGTCATTCATGCCTCCCTGCCAATCATGTGTGTGTGTGTGTGTGTGTGTGTGTGTGTGTGTGTGTGTGTGTGTGTGTGTGTCAAAGTGTCTTGGTCGGTCGTCAGTTAGGGTGCGGACCGCGTACATCCTTTGCTCCGATCCCGCTTTCCACTTATTTCTCACATTCGCAACTGCAAAACTTTTCTCTTTTCGCTTTCCTTTCAGCGTCGTGACCGTCGCAGAAAGACATGCGGATGGTCCGAAGAGAGAGGAAAAAAAAAAAAAAAAAGTGGAGTGTGACGGTGG